CCGATATTCTTTGCCCTATTCGAATAAACCTAACTTTCCTTCAGATTCTACATTACATGTGTATTCTGTTAAGCAGGGACAATGATCTATCCGCCTCTATCGCGTAGCAGGAGTGTATTTAAAACATGTCGAATCATGGGATTCATATGAAATCGACCATGTTTAATCTGAAAACTTTATAATTTCCCGATATTTTTAAGTCATGGGTCACTAACAAGATATTCATACTTTTGTTCAAGTTCACAAGAAGTTTGAGCAATACAATTGCTGAATACTGGTAGTTTGATCCAGTTGAATCTTCAGTATCTGTATTTTGGGCCATCACACTGTCATGCCTCCTAAAGTTATTACTGCTTGGCATAATAACAATCTCATTCACCATGTTGCTACTTGTCAAAACTAATATATCAGCTGCAGTTCTCCACAGACTCTCACTATAACAGAGATTGAAAACTCTTTCTTAGAATAAAAATAGGTTGTCAACGTCTGGCAACCAATTCATGAACTTTCACACAAAGCATTTACGATTCATTTCAGATAGAATATTTTGAGAAGTGTTTCATCTGCTTTTCATGTATGGGCTGCATCATTCAGAAGAAAATGATGAGTCATGTTAATTTCATCTGGGGTTTTCCCTCATCTGTATAAGCAGAAATAATTTCAATGATATCCTGGAACTGGATTATCATAGAGTACATATTAATTTGTCAACAGCATTGGTTATTTCATAAAGGAAATGAGAATATTACTTTTCCATCTCACTTTGGATATTCTAAATTGCACTAATGTATATAGCATTGAAGGTCCATTTTAAGATAAATTTGCAGAACATCATTCTTATAAGTTTTCCAAAACATCTTTCAGAGTGGACTTCTTACAAGATTCAGATAATGAAGAGTAATATTTGTTATTAACAAATAAAGATATTTATTATGAAGTGCAATTCCATATTGTATGATGAGCACTGCTCAGCAACGTAAGAAATTGTTTTAAAATGAGAATTCTGAGTTTTACCAGCTAGTAGTTGTATGAAAATTTTGCCGCTAAAGAATTATTCAAATTATCTATCTCCCAAACTAAAAATAAAATTTATGTTTTATTAAAAAGATCATTGTTATTTTGTTAATTACTGCAAATACTTTACATATATTAGTGATTATCAGTCTGAATCAGAAAAGAGTGCGACTCTACAGAAGACATTCCTTGTGATTAAACTGACTTTTGTAGGAAAAGGTAAAGCACAAAATGGAGAAAGAACACTTTCAAATCAAAGATTCCAATATATCATACAAAATTGCCTGGCAATACACATATATCTAAAAGGGTGGCTTCGCCCATTGATGCGTGGAAACTATATTGATTTACACAATGATTGAATGATTGTGAGATGCTCTATATTTATGTAAAAAAATATTCGGGAAATCTAAAAGGACGCAAAACCTATGGAGAAAGAAGAGTTTCTTGCTTTTTAGGAAATTACATGGTGGATTGCACAAATCCTCCCTTGTAATGCTAGAGATTATGGGCGACTAATGGAACAATGGATATTTTCATATAAACAAATGAACTATATTTTCTTTTCATTCTTCATGCCTTCAAGCGATAATGTCGGAAACGGGATGACAGAAAAAGAGTGATAAATTAGCTCCAATAAGAGATTTGTTTGAAAATTTTGTCGAGAATTGTCAGAAATTATATCATAGGGGAATACAGACTTTGGACGAAAAGCTAGAACCTTTTCGAGGGGTGCTGCTCCTTTGCAGTATATGCTTAAGAAACCTGCAAGGTATGGATAAAGAATTTACTGTGGTTGATTAGACCTTCTATACTTTGACAGGGTTCGTAGCGGCCTTATAAGTGCTATAAGTCCTTATATTTGAAAATAAAAATATAAAGGCTCTTAGGTCTACTTTTTTTTTAAAGCCTTATTTTTTTGTTTTTCGTGCTTTTTTTTTTTTTTTTATGAACATGCTTTTTTTCCCCGTACCAAAGCCGAAACTAAATAAACAACTTTTTTTCCTAATATGGAATGTCAGATGGCGAGTCATACTCCCGGAAATAGCTTTTCCCCCTTTCTCTGCATTAACACAACCTTTGGTGTGCACGAAGAGTACAGACAAGTGCCCATCGTTCTATTAGTCAAAGAATTGCAAAAGCAGTAGAAAATTCCGCTACATTCGGCATTCTTTTCCTCCCCCCCAAATACTACATACGTTTGAATTTCTATCAAGATCTTAAAAATTTGCATTCTCGTTCTGCTTGGTCAGTTCATATACGTGTTTATGATGATCGTTATACTTATATTTATGAGCATAGTAGAATGTTATAATAACATAGTTGCAGTAACTGTGAAGTATAGTAAAACTTCCAAAAGGTAGTGTTTTACATAGATTAGCTTTCTAAGGAATATATTCGGAATGGCTTAAATAAGGGAAAGTAGTCAAAATAATTCATTTTTTGCCAATACATTATACAGTACGAAGGTTGAGAGGTTCCCTTCTCCACAAAATCTTGAATATTGAAACTGTTACAGTTCGCTGCAAAACAAGTACAGATCTTTTTTTTTTTTTTTTTTTTTTTGTCAATTTCCAACTGGATTGAATAGGACTAAAAGTTCTGTGGTCTACCAACCCAAGCGAAGAATGATTCTATTCCGGAAATTTAACGCCGTCTGTGAAAATAGAATGAAAAACTCCGTTATTTGTTCTTTATCTCCAATACCAGCAGTTGTTGATTCCGATGCGTAATATCATGTAGGGAAGAATTACCGCACACATATTGCGCAAAAATGTTTGCGATATTTTGCAGAGATAATTAATTTTGTTCAGTTCGAGATTTGTTTATGAACACTTAAAAGAGTTTTACTGTGCTTGCTAAGCAAAATATCTTTTAGTTCTGTTGGTTTATTTTTACATGATGCACGTATTGAAATGTCGAAAGCATTTATTTAGCAGAAAAATCTAAAGAGCGGCTACAGTCTACTCCCCCCTCCGCTCCTTCAAGTTACGCTCGACTGTCCGAATATTCACCAATTTCCAAGTATGCGGGTTAGTTAAGCTTTTACTGTTAAGATGACTGCATGAAGCAACTTTCTGTCTTCTGATTTCAAATGTTCCTCTTTTTACTTTAAAACTGCTTGCATATTGTTAAGAAAAAACGGATATACAGTGAAATCTAGAAAATGTCAGAATTAGATTGTAATTATTTAAATATCAATATTAGTGGAAAAATAAATGTATATTATTAGGTTTCAAGCAATACAATAAATATGCCTTATTATATTTCTTCTCTATTTTGACTGAAAGTCATCATTAAATCTTGTAATATATTGTTCTTCATAGTTTTTTTTCTCTCATTTTAAACTAGTTCTGTAAATTGAACTAATTTAAAAAAAAAAAAAAAAAAAGTAATTAGTTTCCATGGTTGAGTAATTATCTCTCTTATAAGTACTTCATTCTCATATTTAAATTACAAGTATAATTTTAAGGTTATGCAGTTGTGGTATGAGTAATTAGAAGGTCCTTTTTTTTGTCTTAAAATGTGCTTGAAAAGTGCTTATAGGTGCTTATTTTTTTAACTAAAATGTGGCTATGAACCCTGTTATATCTACCCATTTACTTACCTTTCCCATTTCCTTACTCAACCTTTATTTTTGCAGCCATTGGTGGTAGCTCTATTTCTGCTTACAGAAGTGTTTCAAATGACAAAAATGTTCATGTTTCGCCAATGTCAAATTAAAAAAAATTTTTCTTGACAAATAGCGAAATTTGATTTGTAATGTGGTTTTCTGGTTTCTACACTGATATCTGAGAAAGTTTTATACTCGTTATAAAAAAGTAAAATTATAAGAAGTTTGACTCCCACACCACAAAAATTGACCAGGATATTTAATTTCAAAATTTGCAATTTTTCATGTCTATTTCAACTAGCCTTGAAGAATTGGTTAATTAGGTTAGGGTAATTCAAGGAAATATGTTTAAATGAAGTGCAGCCAAAAAAAAAAAAAAAAAAAAAGTGTATAATTTAATAGGTCATACAAGAAAGTTGATGTGTCCATATCAGATTTTTCCTTTTTAGTTCTGCCAATAAATTATGTAAGTAAAGAGAAATCGGACAAAGTAGAATAGCATAAAGCAATATATAGTTAGCACAAAAAATAATAAAAATAAATGTGATCTATTTTTAGTTCTGTATTTCATAGCTATAAATATGTAAACCAATATCACACCATGCATGTTTTATATTAAAAAAAATTAAAAATTTCAGCTGTTTGTCTCATTCTTTCCTTGTTAAATTAGACTTTTGATTCTGGATAAATGAATGGTTCTCGTAAACTTTAAATGATTACATCAAAGCATTTTCAGTCTTTAATGCCTTTGATTTAAGGATATTGCTTTTTTCTGAGTAGTCGCTGTCTTTCTGTTTGTGCTCGTAAGGAAAGCATAAAAATCTTTAGATTGTAATTTTTCACGATAAACTGACTTGTTTTGTTGCAAATTATGTTATTTAAGGATCATGCTATTTGCATATGATTTTGAGAGCACCTAAATTGTGGTAGGATAACTAGCATTTTAGCAGATAGTACATTAAAAAATATTCAAATAAATCAGCTGCTAAGAGGAACTATATCCTAGTATGTATGAAATTTTAAGTGAATAAATGAATTAGAGCAGTGGTATTGAAACTTTACGGCAATGTGCCCCCATGAAAGTGGAAACAACTCTAAAAAACTATTTTGCGACCTCATTCAGAACATCAGCCCTTAATTATATACCATCAATTCAAATGTTTTAGGACTTTTATCCATCTAGCAGCAGAATTAAAAATTTTCATGACCCCAAATGGGGTCGCAGCCTATAGCTTGAGTAACACTGAATAAAAAAATGCTAAGCAAGTGCATGATTTTTTATTGTTTATGTATAACCATTGAAAATTCGAAGTTTCTAAAATAATATATATGTCTGTAATTGCTTTCATCTATATATTTGAGTTTTAATTGTTTATTAATTTTAAGTTTCTGGTTGTTACAGGTAAAGCAAAATATATTATTGTGCTACTTTGGAATGCTTAAGTGATAAAAATGTCTATGGATTACCCAACAGTTTTAGCTAGTAAATTAAGCTGTAAACAAGGAGCTGTTCGTGCAGTTCGCTTTAATGGTAAATAAATTAATTTCATTTCTGTTTATACCTAAGTGCTTAGAATTATACGTTTCATAAAAGAAATTAATAATTAATTTTGTCCCCATAGTGGATGGAAATTATTGTATTACTGCTGGAGCTGACAAGTCTGTTAAACTTTGGAATCCTTACATATCTGTTTTACTTCAGACATATATGGGTCATGGATATGAAGTTTTAGATGTTCAAGCTTCCTGTGATAGTGCTCATATTGCATCTGGAGGAATGGATAAATGTGTGTTTTACTGGGATGTAAGCACTGCTCATATTTTGAGAAAATTTAGAGGCCATGCTGGTATGAACTGAATGCATTAGTTTTATCTATTTAATTCTTTTAAGTAGCACAGCTTTTTGGATCTGCTGATGAAAGACTATATAAGCAACATTTATTTTTTATATTTGCATAATTACTAGTTTTTTATTTTATTTTCATAATATTTTGTTTGTTAAAAAATATAAGAAAACAAAATACTTAAATGAAAAGATAATAAAAGAAATTTCATGATTGGATAAAAGCAGTCATGCCACTTAGAAAATTAACAAACATACTTTGAGCATATTATTTGTACTAAAGAGGCTAAACCAGTGCTCTTGATATTTTCTGTGATATATGGGTTGATCAGAATTACTTAAATATAACACAAAGCAATGTAATTTTGCTTGGCAAAGGGGAAAAAAATTCCAAAATGTACTAACAAATGCCACTGTATTCATCAAACATGGGAACTTTGCTCACTGAAGGAAGAGAAATTAGCTGCTAAGTTGCATATAAACTTAATTAGCATAAGGCCTTGCATATTAATTTCCAATTACTCTGCATCTGAGCAGCATATCATGACTCTGTCAGACTCATGGCTGTTCTTGTGAAACTTTTGCCCTTAATGGTACCATTATTTGAAAATTTTTCTAATATATTTGTTAATAATGCAACTTATATTTTGGAGAAAGTAATACATAACTATTCAATTTTTGAAATGAAATCTAAAGATGATAAGGTGGGGGAGGTTTCTTTTTTTCTTTTCTTTTTTTTTTTTTTTTTAAGTTGTACACAGTTTTTTTTTTTTAAAGTTGTTGTTGTTATGTATAAAGGAGTAAATGGCAATTCAAAACAGCATAAGGAAAAAACATTGTCATATTCTACGACTGAGAATTTCTTGGCATTACACATCACGAGTAAGAAACATGAAGCTTTATCCTTGCTATTTTGCCAGGGAACTAGTATTGAAAAATTCTTGATTTCAGAAATTTTCACCAAATTCATTAATTTTGTTTTTGATCACACAAAAGAGGGGGCAGGAGAAATCTTATAAGTAGGCAAAAAATGTGTATGGTAGAATCTATCAAAAAATCATCCTATTAGACTTTTTTAATGGCTTTAATTTCTAACCATCTAAAATCTTTTTACAGCTGATGAAATAAAGAATGCAGAGAACTTTTCTTACCATTGTTATACAGCACTGAGTAGTCATTTTTGAGGAAAAAAGTAACTACTTAGTGCTGGAAAAAAGTGATAAATTACCTTTTAGAGGATAATTTAATACTTTGAGAGTAATTAATTGTCACTGCATGATACTGGTATCTAAAAAAGAAAATTCACTATTAATATCATATTATGTCAAATTCAAACCACAATAAGATTTTAAAATTAGTAAATAAACTGAATAATAACAAAAATTAAAATGATTTTCTAATATATAATGAAAAAATAGAAAAATTTTTATTTACTTAATAGTACTAATATAAATATAATAAGTTACATTATAAAAATCTTCTTTAAATATGTTACAACTTTCAACATCTTTTAGAAGTTGAATTTTCGTCTTCATTATTATAGTGGAGCATATCATTTTTCAGTGCAATTTAAATTATTAATAATGCAAGATTAAAAAATCTAATGTGGACACTACATGACTTTCTTGTATGGTCTTTTAAATTATACACATTTTTTTGGCTGGACTTCATATACTCTTATTTTCTCAAATTATTCTAATTTAATTAATCAATCCTTATAGGCAAGTTGAAAATGACATAAAAAATTGCAAATTTTGAAATTAAATATCTAGTCATTTTTTTTTTTTTTTTTTTTTTGCCCTATGGGAATCGAACTTCTCATAATTTTACTTTTTTATAATGAGTATAAAACTTCTCAGATGTGAGAATTGGAACCGGGACACTGCATTAAAAATTAGATTTTGTTATTTGTCAAAAATTATGATTATTTTTTAATTTGACACTGCCAAAACATTTCATCATTTAAAACACTCCTGTAGTTGAAAGCATATGGCTACGACCAATGATTGTGAAAATAAAGGCCAGGTAAGATATATTTATGTTTGTGTGTGTATATATACTTTTGGTTGCAAGTAAAAAGATGTTACAGCATTCTCATATACAAAATTTCAGACTAGACGTTACAGCATTCTCGTATACAAAATTTCAACGTTCTATGGCTAATCGTTTTTGATTTACACAAGATACATACATATATATGTACAGATATCACACACACACACACACACACACGCGCGTACACACACACACACACACACACACACACACACACACCAGAAAAAAAAAAAAAAAACCCTTTTGAATCCATTTTACAATCTGTTTTGAAAGAAAGAGTGCTTTATTGTGGTTGTACGTACAGATATTGCACAAAGAAATCATGCAAAAAGGGATATTTCCATTGATATATGATATTTAAATTTTTTTTTCATTACAGTACTTCCTTTACTTTGTACAAGGAATTTTTTTTTTTCCAGGGAAGAGTCTACTTATTTGCGAATGAAGTTTGGTAGAAATGAAGCGTTAAAAAAGTTGCTTTGAATTTAAATTGTATTCTGATTTCATGTCTTAAAAATCTGAATAAAAGTGTTGCTTAAATCTGAAGTAATATGATGATTGTCTTTTAGAGGTGACTATTAAGAATGACTCTAAGAAACCTTGGCCTTTAGTTTTGTTCACATGGAAACTTTCTAATAAAATATGAAAGCAAGAGATTTATAACTTAGTATTTAATATAGAAACTTGCTAGTTTTGTTATTGAAGTTTTTTTTTAATGGTTGAACTGTTCTCGTTAAAATTAATCATTTCTTTTAAATGTTAAGATTTGTAAACTCCTTAAAAACTGAAAATTATTCATCTATTTAAAGAAATCTTTATGTAGTTGATATTACTTTGTGTATAGAATGATTTGGTATTAACCTGCTATATGTTAATTTCTAATTGCCATCAATGGAATTCTTTCATAATTAAACAGATACATTTTCAACTTAATGAAGGGAAAAATTAGCCCATACTTTTGAAACCACTGCACTATGTGTGTCTATGTGTGTATGATTTGTAACGTGGGAACACACGGCTGTTTCTAATGCAATATATAATGCCCTGAAACATGTTGCCTGTACCCACTACAATAGATGACATCTTGAAAATATGCACCTGCACAACTATGTGTCACAGCATATATCATGTAATTTAATCCCTCTTACTTGAGCTAATTTAACGCTGAAAGAGCTAATTTAATGCAGTACTTGTAGTATTTGCTGGAGTCACAATTTCCATCACAGACTCGAGGAATATTGTCAGAATGTTGTTATGTTGTTAGTTTTCTATTTTCTAGTTAGTGTGTGGGTCTAATACCTACTTACTTAGGGTAAATATTAGGTGCCCCCCACTTCTACATAACTGTATGTGTTTGCATGCCAAAGCAGTAAAAAGGCATTAAATCTTTGACCAAGGACATAAAAGAATTCAGTACGAGAAATTCTTTTTCAGAGTTAATGAAAAGGTATTATAAACAAACTAGTTTTTAGTTAACACAGATTTAAAATGTGGTTATAAAATATTATTTTCTGTTGATTGATTAAATATGTGTAGTCTTATCAGTTAAACATTTGCTTGTAAAGCTTTCTGAAAACATTGAATATATGATATGCATTCCTTTTTTTTTTACTGTTCAGGAACTTTCCTTATTTAACATTTGCTTGTATTGCTCTGTGTATTCATTTGCTATTTATTTGTTCAGATCTTCAATGATTAGTGAAGATCTCAAATACACTGACGAAAGGGGAAAAAGTCCTGACACCAAGGAGTTGCTCTAGATAAACGAAATTTGATAGATGTGTTTATACATCTAAAATATGATGTCTATTCAAATTTCACACTAGGCGCATAAGTGTGGCCCTAGCAATGCCACTATAAACAACCGAATCAGGTTTGTTAAAATATGCCCTGGAAAGTTCATGAATATTATTTTCTACTGAGATGTGACATAGTGAGCTGATGTTAATCAAGAATGCTTTTAAGAAGATGAAGCCATTATCAGTAGTTCAGTGACTTTGAACAAGGTCATGTAATAGGACTATGGGAAGGTGGATTTTCTTTCTACGATTTTACAGAAAGACTGGGCAGAGATGTATCCTGTGTGTATGATTGTTGGCAACAGTGGTCAAGGGAAGGTACTGATTGAAGAAGGTTGAGTTCTGGTTGGCCATGTGGCACTACTGAAGGAAAGACTGCTGTGTTCGGCGTATAGCTGTGGCACATTGTACTGCGTCTGCTACAGAAATTTGAGTTACAATTAGAACCACAGTGACACAATGAACTGTTACAAATTGGTTACTTGAAGGAGGGCCTGTAGCATGAATTCCACTGACTCCAAACCATTTCCGTTTATGACATCAGTGGTGTCAAGCTAGAACTCATTGGAGGATGGAGTGAAGATCTGTTGTTTTTTCTGATGAAAGCTGGTTCTGCCTTTGGGCTAGTGATGGCCATGTGTTGGTTAGAAGGAGGGCAGGTGAGTGCTTGCAACTACCTGCGTAATGGAAAACAAATTCGAGGCTATACAAGGTAGGATAGACTCAGTTGAAAGTAAGGTTGGAGAAATTGAAGAAAGAGTTTCTTCCATCAAAGAACAAGTAGAAGTGAGAGTTTATGCTGTGGAGGAACGAATTGAAGGAAGAGTTTGTGCCGTTCAACACCAAATCGAACAACAAATTGATGATAGGGTTTCAGCAACTGCGAAAGAAGTCGATACTTTAAAGAAGTTTGTAGCGACGGCAGGGAGCAATTCTGATAGTTTCAAATTTTTACCCATGCCTCCTCGTCCCTCTCTGAAGCTATCCATTTATGATGGGAAGAGCTCCTGGCAAGACACAATTCTCAATAACGGCAGAAGCGAATGGATGGGATCCCCAAGCTAAGTCCTGTCATCTCGTTGCTCCTAGGCAAACGCAGCGGATATCCTTCAGACTCTTCCCGAAAGCAAAAAGTTAGATTTCAAAGCTC